TAGTAAGTATGATCTTACTCTGGGGTGTTGCTAACATATGTGCACTCACTTATGATCGATACGTTGCCGTTATTAAGCCTCTACAGTACACTTACCGGATACCCGAGATATTCGAAAAAACTATTATCGCTGTATGGTTATTTCCAACCATATACAGCTTATTACCATTATTTTGGAGAAAGGATCGTTCCAAAACAATCCACTTGGTGTACCTTATTTGCATGGAATTCATTGGCGTGTTCATTCCGTACTTCTTCGTGACCATCGCCTACGCACGGATTTTTAAGGAGATGAAGCAAAGCTTAGCGCTGAGGAAACATTTGAATTGCGCAATGAAACAAATCAACGAACGCAGAAAACTCTCCTCAGACGCTCACGTGGCGAAACTCTTTTTCATCATGTCGATGACCTTCTTAATCTCGTGGGTGCCGATCATTTATATGACAACCGCCGCCCGTATTTTTGGTCGGTTGGACATCATTCCCGAAGTCCTCCCGACAATTTCTCTGTATACAGTAGCTACTGCTTCGTTGGTAAATCCCTTCGTGTACGCTCTCCTCAAACCGGATTTCAGGGTTGTAACACGAAATATGTGTCGAAAGAGTGGTCGAGTGGGAGCGATGTCCATGACGCCTCAACAGTCTTATCAGGATAAAACAGGGGGAGACACCAAAAGTCACGAAGAACCCCCACAAAAACTTCCATCAAAACCGAGGGCAGATTGGTTGGAGTGTGGTACTTAGACACTTCGACCCAACACAAGATGGATTTATACGCTAGTGATTCTCTCTGTACCTTTTTTCGACGCTAGAAAAAAAAAATAAAAAGCGCGATAGAAAACGATATGGACACTGCTTTCAATGTTTCTGAGAACATTGGCCATTACGCACTTCATGAACATCCTTTGCCTAGAACGATTATGTATATTAAAAACAAAAACGCCTTGTCAAAAAAACGCCTGCTTCCAGTAATTTCATAAAAAAACAGCGATGCTTCTTTACAAATAAAAAAGCAATTAGAGCACGGGAGAGTTTGGAGATAACCAGGTGCATTTCAGCTAAAAGCAGAATTGTCAATTCACTGATAGTAATGGACTAAGCTCAGTTGTATCAGGAAAGGTTTTCATTCAGTTCGTGACATGCTTTAATTCGTATCTTTTGATGTCGTTAGGCTTTTAAACCTTAAAAATATATATTGCCGATATCGTAACGAATGAAGAAGTAGTTGGTGACGTATGGAATAAAAGCGATATTAATTCATACTTAAATTTTCCTGTCAGTGTACCACGGCTGAAATCACCTGTATGAAAAAAGGTTTTTATTCAATTTGTGCCGTGTTGTCGACATCTTTCCATACAACTTTTTTAGATCTTATAAGAACTTTTCGATATTGTCAGGAATGAAAAATCAGCTGGCGACGCATGGCCTTGGGGAAACGTTGTGCAAAAAAATAGGTATGAAAAAAATTCGAAGTGCTTTGTATCTTATCAATAAAACAACAAAAAAATGCGCCCAAACGCATAAATAACGACAATAATAAAGCGTCTGCTTCATTCAAGACAACAATGCAATAAAAAAATATAAAGACACAACATAATGAATTATATAGAAGTTCTGGAATTAATCAGTAACGAAAATCAGCAGTAAATATCAAGACTCAGTATCGGAGATGTCAAAACTCATAAAACAAAATTACTCGTCTCTCATACTCACCGAATATTGATGGGCTTGTAAACACATATCTGGTATCCTTTGGTGTGAAAACTACGAGGCAAGAGTACCATATAACCCCATACATTAATTATGCATTCAGTCTTTGTTCAATTAAAACAATAGCGATAACAATAGAACTCCGCAAACTAGTAGCCTTTGTTTTGAAAATTTGGATTTTTTTTCTGTCTTTTTTGAAACAGGGTATATTTGGCGCGTTTTGGCTTTGAAAAGCGGAAAACTCAAGTAATTTTCCAGAGGTTTTTAATTTTGAAATATAACTGAATGTTCAGTTTCGCTTTGAAAGCGGAAAATTGGCCTGAAAATAGCGTTAAGTCTACGGTCAGGCTTTGAAGTTTGTCAATGCAAAGTTTAAATAAATGTTGTTTCTTACCTGTTGTTGTGGTTTTGGTTGATTCTTTCATTATCCTTTCGTGTCCTTGTGATGAAAATTGTTCGTGAAGGCCGGTGCATACAGCGATGCAAAGAAACCTTTGTATCTAGTCTTTCTGGACTTCACAAAGTTGGGCGATATGTTCGATAATGTTTCCAAAGGGATCGTTTCCGTAGTGCTGACGCCACATATATTCTTGTAGGTAGCCATCGAAAAGTCCTTTGGATGTTCCTGTTTGGGGCAAACCTCGCTTGATTCCCCACCATGTATTTTCGATACCCTGTGTGTGCGCACCGGTGAATTCCGGCGCATTGAAGCCATTCCATCGCAACCCTTTTTTGAACATCGCCACTCGTACCCGTCTCGCGATGAAGCACGTCGCGTCCAGCTAAGTTCA